TTCCTGGAGGTGGGTCCTGCCTTGTGATGATGGTCAGTAGTCTTCCTGGAGGTGGGTCCTGCCTTGTGATGATGGTCAGTAGTCTTCCTGGAGGTGGGTCCTGCCTTGTGATGATGGTCAGTAGTCTTCCTGGAGGTGGGTCCTGCCTTGTGATGATGGTCAGTAGTCTTCCTGGAGGTGGGTCCTGCCTTGTGATGATGGTCAGTAGTCTTCCTGGAGGTGGGTCCTGCCTTGTGATGATGGTCAGTAGTCTTCCTGGAGGTGGGTCCTGCCTTTGATGATGGTCAGTAGTCTTCCTGGAGGTGGGTCCCTGCCTTGTGATGATGGTCAGTAGTCTTCCTGGAGGTGGGTCCTGCCTTGTGATGATGGTCAGTAGTCTTCCTGGAGGTGGGTCCTGCCTTGTGATGATGGTCAGTAGTCTTCCTGGAGGTGGGTCCTGCCTTGTGATGATGGTCAGTAGTCTTCCTGGAGGTGGGTCCTGCCTTATGATGATGGTCAGTAGTCTTCCTGGAGGTGGGTCCTGCCTTGTGATGATGGTCAGTAGTCTTCCTGGAGGTGGGTCCTGCCTTATGATGATGGTCAGTAGTCTTCCTGGAGGTGGGTCCTGCCTTGTGATGATGGTCAGTAGTCTTCCTGGAGGTGGGTCCTGCCTTATGATGATGGTCAGTAGTCTTCCTGGAGGTGGGTCCTGCCTTGTGATGATGGTCAGTAGTCTTCCTGGAGGTGGGTCCTGCCTTGTGATGATGGTCAGTAGTCTTCCTGGTGGTGGGTCCTGCCTTGTGATGATGGTCAGTAGTCTTCCTGGAGGTGGGTCCTGCCTTGTGATGATGGTCAGCAGTCTTCCTGGAGGTGGGTCCTGCCTTGTGATGATGGTCAGTAGTCTTCCTGGAGGTGGGTCCTGCCTTTGTGATGATGGTCAGTATGTCACGCAGTATTTTCTTATTGTGTTTCAGTAAGTTGAAAATCCGGTTTGGTCATTGTGCATGTAGTGGTGTAGGCTCGATTCTCCATCCGCTAATCGCGGCTCGGTCTCTGAGCAATCAGGCTGTTAGTGATAGCTCACAGTGTAGCAGTAATAATACAACTGGTTGGGTAACATAGCTATAATATGACTGTTAGAGTGACGTAGTTGTAATATAACTAGTTTAGTGACGTAGTTGTAATATAACTAGTTGAGTGACGCAGTTGTAACATAAATGGTTGAGTTGTATGAAAAGTTGAGTTATAGTATTGCCTTATATATTATAATTATGTGTGGAGGTGATATAAAATGGGTATTGTTGAAGTTGTTATAAAATAATAATAATAATAATAATAATAATAATAATAATAATAATAATAATAATAATAATAATAATAATAATAATAATAATAATAGGTGTATGACGTTTGTGGAATAAGAGAGTCAGGTAACTACGATGTTCTTTTCTGGTTTTAAAATTTTCTTAAAGCAAATTGTGTAACAGTGAAGAGAGCCAAGTGTTCTACAACATATTCTTAATCTATTTCGGATTACCTGGTGATGTCAACGGAACAATTTCTTAGTCACTGATTTTAAGATTTCAACGAGCCGTTGATCAGATCATCACATGAGATCAAGAATCCATTAAGTAATTTTCGTAGACGAATAAATTTACAGCCGAATGTTTGTATTTCTTTCCTTGTCTTGACTGGTTCCTTCTCCTGACAGATCACACAGGAAGCTCTAGTGAGACACTATACCTGGCTTGTCCTGGGAGATATCCGCCTGGTGACACAGGCTGGTCCTTCACCACATCTACCTCTCGACAATCTGGTAGGTTATGTTTCTTCTTCATAGCAAATATAATCGGTTTCTCTAATCAATCTAGTCAATCATATCTACTCTTGATAACAAGATGATTCCTTCTTAATAACCTGTATCGTTAGTCTTATTTATTCGTGATAACATGAAGTCATTCTCCTTAGGAAAACGCGATATTCTCCTTGACAACCTGAGAGTTCGTATATATTGATCTAAACCAAAGGTTTAGATCAATATATACGATTCCAAACCACTTTAATCAAATGATGACTGGCTCTGAAAACTGGCATTTTTTTGCAGACGAGACAAGCCAAATGCATCAACTGAATCTGAAGTTGCAAGGTGAAACAAATTTGATCTGTGAACTATTCACGCATATCAAGGCATTCAGGACAAAATTGATGCTATCTGAAGGACAATTGAAAATTTCTAACCTGGTTCATTTCCTATGTTGTGAAAAATTTCATGAAGAAAGTGAAGCAGAATTTCCTCCTTCATATGCAGCAGAAATTATTAATGACTCGCAAAAACAATTTCAGAAACTATTTTTGATTTTGATCGAGAAGCAGATGAAATATAGATGTTTCAAAATCCATTTGACTACAGTGTTGAATCACTCGCAAATTTAGACTGCCCGTAATGCCAAGGCATGATAGTGGCACTCTTTGTACTGCAGTCATTATTGCAATTACACACTGTAAACTATCTTTGTAAATACGACTTCCTACAACATGCCAATCTCATTGTAAACTTGCAAGGAAATAAAAATTTTGTGGATTCTTATCAGTTTTTGGTACAATGTACCTTTGTGAACAAACATTTTCAAGAATGAAGTATGTCAGGTCCAAATATCGCACAATTTTAACTGATAAGCATTTGAAGTTTATTCTGATAATTGTCTCCTCAACCTTCAAACCTTCAAATTAAGAAACCAGTTCTATCATTCCTATTAATCTTATGCAAATTAATCTTGTGTCAGCAGCTTTTCATCTGCAGTTTAGTAACTTATTATACTGTCAGAACATTGGCTTATGTTTGACATTTTTACTCATTTTATATAATTTCTCAGGGTAAGCACTGTATTGTTTCTTCATAACTGTCACATTTCTCATTTGTTCTGAATAATATGATGATTACAAACAAAAAAAAATCCAAATAAAGCTTATTTATTCACATAAATTTTATTAATTTATTGATATTTATACCACTGATTTTTTTTCGTTGGTCTGCGGAAAATGTGTAAAATATACGATGTGGCTCTAGTAGTGAAAAATTTGGAGATCACTGGTCTAAATAATTTGAGTTATGTTCTATTAATAATATTCTTCATAATCTCTGATCTTCGTAGCACATGTTAATTAATGTGATCCTGGCTGCAGTCTACTATAGCCTAACCTTTGGTCTCTCTTCATTTTTTCCTCAACGTAATGATTGAAAATGGACCGAGAAATCACCCAATATTAATTTCCATTTCATTTTGTAACATTCTAGCCAATGATATTGTGACTACTCGTCAAGGATTCTCCGGATAAGTTCTTAAGTCTTTGTAACTTATTTAATATTCTCCCGAAGACAGAGAACTTTGTGTTGTTATTACATAGAGTTGGTCTCGATACTCTCAAGACTCAATCTTATTTTTTTATTACTTTCTTGTTTTCATAACTTTTGGTAACTTTTTCCAACTAGTTGTTATTTTATCTTGTTCTCCGATGGCCCGGTGGTCTGGTGGCTAAAGCTCCCGCTTCACACACGGAGGGCCCGGGTTCGATTCCCGGCGGGTGGAAATTCCGACACGTTTCCTTACACCTATTGTCCTGTTCACCTAGCAGCAAATAGGTACCTGGGTGTTAGTCGACTGGTGTGGGTTAGACAGTCCTCGATGACGCACTGACTTTCTTGGGTTATCCTGGGTGGCTAACCCTCCGGGGTTAAAAATCCGAACGAAATCTTATCTTAACCAGTAAGATGACTCTCGAGTCATCTTACTGGTTAAGTCTGATACTAATCTTACTTCGATATTTTATAATTTCTCCAGTTTCTTGGCATGCCTTATGAGATGAGGGTTCCAGGTCTGTGCTGCAGTCTCCAATATGGATCTGATATATGCCGTATATAATGGTCGTGAACGATTATTTGTTGAGATTTCTGGAAACTAATCATAGTTTCGCCAAGAGAACAATCGCTGCAGATATTCTGTTCGTATGCTGGAGTTGAATTCTGGCTGTCACATGTCTGACCAGTCCTGCTGTGAGTCCAGGTCCATTTGTACTCTTTCCTTATCCTCAACAGTTTTTATTTGTTTCATTAATTTTGCATAATCGCAAACAGAGATGCATAAGACTCCTCTGATATTTCATTTACATATAAAATGTTCCGATGGAATGGTACTAGAAACATTTGCCTTTTCTCACACCTCATCCAGTTGTTCTCTCACTCCCATAAGCTAATCTTTTGTACACTATAGTGTATTCCCTGATGTGATATATATATATATATATATAATATATATATATATATATATATATATATATGTTTCTTGTGAGGCGCGGTGTCAAATGCCTTCTTGCAGTCCCAGAAAATGAAGTCCACCCACCCATCTCTCTCCTGCCTTACTTCTGTTACTTTGTCATAGAATTCTAGCAGGTTTGTGAAACAATATTTGCCATATCTAAACCTGTGCTATTTTTGTTTATGAAAAAAACTCCTTTCTAGGTGCTCCACTTTGTGACCTCCGTCGTATCTTACAGGTCTCTCTCACTCTCGACTAGACCAAAGGGACAGGCCTGGCTTCGTCACGTATTTCAATATATCGTCTACATAACAGTAGAACATTGTATTTATTGCAACCATCATTTCCTAAACATGAATCCGACAAATGGTGGCAGCTTTGGGTACGTAATTCTTGTAATTACGTTGATAAGAAATTATTAAATTGACGAGACCGCGTGGACACGCCTCTTTCCTTCTTCAATCATATTACTTGGTCACTTACGACTGCCTTTTTTTTCCCTGACGTGGCTGTGTAGCGGGTTGGATTGGGATATAGCTTTTGGTTGCTGTGTCATTCTCAAATTGCTAGTCAGCTTTTCTTTTCAACCTTGCATATTAATTTCTGGCTCTTGGACTTGCTTCTCTTGTTTCATTCTGTCATTCGCTTTCTTCTTTTTCTATGCTCTTGTACCCATTTTTTCTTCCTTTCGGCATCCTTGGTTGAACCATGAGCTCTCTTCTTCCTGAAGCACTATTCAGGTCAGACACAGTAGGTGGGTCGTGTCAGCTCCACGCGGTATAACAATAAATAATCGCCTCTCTCCATGCATTTCTAAATCACTTATGAACTAACTCCCCGTGAATGAATAACCGAATTATTCAACAGTGGCTACAAAAACCGTACATGAATAATTTCTTTGTTAAATAACCTGCACAATACATTATTTTCGGTTTTTGCGCTGAGCTAAGGCCAGGGTAGATCATTGATCCATGTACTGAGGAACGGACTTGGACGGTATGCAAATGTATTGGAATATTACGTGTTCATTGTGGTGAGAATGATACACGTACCACTGTACAGTACATTTAGATTAGTGAATGTACACTGAACTTAAAGAATGTATGTTCTTAGAAAATGCATGCCAGCAGTTCCTAGAGTCGTATGTATATTTAGTTCTTAGATTAGTGCGTGTAAATTGTACTTAGATTAGGGGGTGCACGTTGTTCTTGTAATGAGTGTACAAAGTACTTAGAATCGGGCATTTATATCATATTGGCCATTTTCTAATTTTATGGCAGCAATCATGACTGGGGAGATTGGTTGAATACCTATGGTACTGGGTCACAACAGTTGTTTTGACCCCCTTCTCTCAGCACCCAGGGAGATGGCTTATGCGTTTCCATTGTTTATGCTGTATCTATCCATCAATTTTATTGAGTTGACACTCTCCAGTACCTGACTACACTGCCTTCCGGTACTTCTCCACTGCCTTCTGTGAAGATTTCTTTTAATCTTCTGCTAAGCACTTCATTCGAGTCACAGCTCCTGGCCCCGCCTTTTCACTGGTCGCTCCTAGGTCCTCTCTGTCCCTGCTCCATGGGCTTTATCATACCTCATCTTAAAACTATGTATGGAGCCTGCCTCTACTACATTACTTTCCAGACTTTTCAACTTCCTGACAACTCTGAAGAAATACTTCCTAACATCCCTCTGACTCATCTGTGTGTGTGTGTGTAGTGTGTATACACTGGTAAATGATCGTAATTCTCCAATGTTCTTCTGCAGGTAACCTTCGCTTCTCTCAATACAACGATAACCAATGTGACCAATGTGATTCAAATCGATCTCTTCGAGATGTACACAGTACACGATGACCTTCCCTATGTGACCCACATGTTGGGATCATGGCAAGGTCAGGATGAACTAGATCTTCCCAAAGAGGACTGGAGTGACAGACGTACTAATTTAACTGGACTACATCTTCGATGTGTTACTCTACCTGTATGTTGGTAACCTCCCTGGGATGTGGTATAAGTTTACTGGGGTGTCAGTTATCTTCACCGCAAGATGTTTAGGGATCTGGGTTTAGCATGAGCATTAGGTTAGGCTGGGTTAGGGTGACAACTCAACTCAACCGCAGCTTCTTCGCCCAACTTAGTGTGCAGGGATTTTTCTTCGCAACTACAAAATTCTAGTCCGACTTACGGATTTAGTGAATCAGTTCATAGATAATAGTACAGTGTGTTCAAAGTTGAATATAATGTTAAATACTAGAGGCCACTGTAATACTCGATGCTTAACACCTCTATATTCTCTCGCACTTTCTCTTACTCCAGCAAGAACCCTTCACCTACGTTAGCGAGCCAGACGATCAGTTAAAGGTGGACATCGTTCGAGGTTATGCCAAAGACGTGTGGGACACACTTCAGGAAATTCTTGGTTTTACGTAAGTATATCTCCCAAACTTTCGATAGTACCCAAGATGTGTCCTTCCAAACAGGGGCAGGTCTGACTTATCTCTTCTAGTATGTTGGTTACGTGTACCAGAAACGGCACTGGTTCTAGTACTGATCCTTGCAGCACCCCTTTCTGACATCTCGTCTCGGACAATCGCTCTTTATCTCATTCCCTTACGATATTCTCCGAACTCTTATTGAATGTTCCTTGTTATTCTTGAATTCTTTTCAAGTTTATACAACAGTTTCTTCTGAGGTTCACTATCAAATGTCTTCTTGCAGTCTAAAAACATACAATCCATCCATCTCTCTATCTCCGGTCTCACTTCTGTTGCTGTGTCATAGAGCTCCAACAAGTTTGTAGGATAAGATTTACCATAATGGTAGAATTACCGACAAAATATTAGGTAACTGGACACAGATGCAACGAATATGACATTTTATTTTGGCAACCGCTCCTGCAGAGCGAAACGTTGCCATAATAAAATGTCATGTGAAACTGCACCTGTGTCCATTTACCTAACAATATTTACCATCTCTAAACCGCGTTGGTTATTGTATATGTGAGCACTTCTCTTCAGGTGCTTCACCGCCCTCCTTCTAAATATCTTCTCCATTACCTTACATGGCATGAATGTCAGTGATACTGGTCTGTAGTTCAGCGCTTCCTCTCTGTGTCCTTTCTTAAATATAGGAACTACATTTACTATCTGCCAGATCTCTGGGAAGTGTTCCATATCCAGCGACTTGTAGATCTTAGCTAGTTGTCCAGACAGTGCCTCTCCTACCCTCGCAAAATTCATAGTGACACGTTATCAGGTCTTATGACATTTAATGTACTGTATTCAGCTCACTCTAGAAGTTTTTTTTATCTCTTTTCCCTGTTGTGTGTGTGACTGTGTGTGTGTGACTGTGTGTGTGTGTGACTGTGTGTGTGTGTGACTGTGTGTGTGTGTGACTGTGTGTGTGTGTGACTGTGTGTGTGTGACTGTGTGTGTGTGTGACTGTGTGTGTGTGTGTGTGTGTGTGTCTGTGTGTACTCACCTATTTGTACTCACCTATTTGTGGTTGCAGGGGTCGAGTCCTAGCTCCTGGCCCCGCCTCTTCACCGGTTGCTACTAGGCCCTCTCTCTCCCCGCTCCATGAGCTTTATCAAACCTCGTCTTAAAACTGTGTATGGTTCCTGCCTCCACTACGTCATTTTCTAGGCTATTCCACTGCCTTACAACTCTATGACTGAAGAAATACTTCCTACTATCTCTCTGACTCATTTGTGTCTTCAACTTCCAATTGTGGCCTCTTGTTTCTGTGTCCCCTCCCTGGAACATCCTGTCCTTGTCCACCTTGTCTATTCCACGCAGTATTTTATATGTCGTTATCATGTCTCCCCTGACGTGTGTGTGACTGTGTGTGTGTGTGTGTGTGTGTCTGTGTGTGTTTGTGTGTGTGATCAATAAACATTAATAGTGACAACCAGTTATTTATTTACTTGCAGTAGTAGAAAAAAAAGAAAAGAACTTGGTGACAAAGAACGCTTATTCTCTGTCAGTCTCTCTCTTAGCGGTAGAGCGCTGAACCTCTTAATGTCGGGACCACGGTTCGAGCCTCCTGTCCATCATTTTGTTTATTCATTGACAGTCATTCATTACTACTTGAACTGAGTTCATATCTCATAATTTTTGAAAGTTTCCATTGGTGTAGCACACATTACTTCACATTATCCTCCATTCCAGTAGGCTACAACCTCGTAAACAAAGAGAAATCTTTCATCCCTTGATACTTTTTTTTTTTACCTCTCGTGCCTTACAATTCGTTTTTATTAACTCTGTGATTCATGTTTCAGCATATGAACTTTCACATTATTTTTAAGGGGGGGAGTAAAGGGGGAGGGGGGGGGTAAGAATACAGTACCATAGCTAAAAATTCTTATTTTGGCTTTATGAATGTGTATTTTTTTTTACCGTTTAATAATTTTATGGAGAATTATTACTGGGAAGTTGTTGATGAGTGCTAAACAGTTAATAACAAATTGGTGGTTCAAGGTGATACTTATCTAAGATTCCTGTAGGATTTAGGAGAGCCGAAGTCGCTGGCACAGCTCTCCCTCAGACATGTTTACGAGTGATCCAGCCTCTCATGCCCAAATAAATTGTTTTTAATTCATTATCTATGAAATTGACAGATAGTTTTTTGCAAAAGAAAGTTAATACTAATATTAATACTAATATAACCATAGCGACCATCATGGACCATGATGCGGGGGCGTTGATCCCCGGAACACCCTCCAGGTAGTGACCTTTAGTGGGTTATGTGGTTTGAAAATGGTCTAGACTCTATTCTAGAACATGTGAACTAGGGTGCGTGTCTTTATACTCTGGCTCGGTCATCAAAAAATTACTGGGAAGATAATCATTTGATAATCATTTTATACACTACACCATCCAGCCTCCCGAGGCTCGTAAGCCAGGCTCGTAAGCCAGGCTCAAGCCAGGCTCGTAAGTCAGGCTCAAGCCAGGCTCGTAAGCCAGGCTCGTAAGCCAGGCTCGTAAGCCAGGCTTAAGCCAAGCTCGTAAGCCAGGCTCAAGCCAGGCTCAAGCCAGGCTCGTAAGCCAAGCTCGTAAGCCAGGCTCAAGCCAGGCTCGTAAGTCAGGCTCAAGAGGGGCTCGTAAGCCAGGCTCGTAAGCCAGGCTCGTAAGCCAGGCTCAAGCCAGGCTCGTAAGCCAGGCTCAAGCCAGGCTCGTAAGCCAGGCTCAAGCCAGGCTCGTAAGTCAGGCTCAAGCCAGGCTCAAGCCAGGCTCAAGCCAGGCTCGTAAGTCAGGCTCAAGCCAGGCTCAAGCCAGGCTCGTAAGTCAGGCTCTTAAGCCATCCAAACTATTTCTGTGATTAATATCCCCTAATGTGAATAATATTTTTCTCAACTTGATAAACTTTCAGTAATAAATCCTTTTATATATTAATATACCCCTCATATATCAGGCACCGTTAATATGATAGGGTTTACGTGTGTGTATGCCTGCAGGTACACATGTCGCAAGCCTGTGGATGGCACGTTTGGTTCAATGAGCCAGGACGGGGCGTGGAACGGACTGGTGAGGGAGGTGGTGAAGGGGAGAGCTGACGTGGTGGTCACCTCCCTAGACCACACAGAGGCCAGAGCTCGAGCTCTCGACTTCATCACAGGACTCAGGGAGGTCGGGTGAGCTGTAATGAATACCTTAAGAGTTTGATACAAAGTTATGATGATATTAATGTAAGATTACTTTTATGATAAACTTTTATCAGATGGAATAAATAAAGTTACTTATTTAAAATGGGCAGTGCAAGCCAGAAACATTGCAAAAAGCCGATTTACATTTACAATTTATTATTCAGTACCCACATAAAAGAAATACCATTAATGGTATTTGTGTATATCACAGGTATATACCGACATGATGATGAGTTAGACACCTGTATTGATAAAGCCATTGGTTGGCGAAACGTCTACTGAATAAAGATACTCGGATGTTGTGCAGCTGTCTAGCTCATCATCAACAGTGTGTGTTGCAGACTACATGATACTATGTACGTGACAAGTCTCGCTCATCACATAGTCTCCATTTCAACACAACATTCCCCAAGAATCTTAATTACTCACTCAGTAGCTGAGTGTTCAACACTCAACCAACATTACTCGTGTCTGATTCCTAATCATTCCGCTCCAGTTCACTTAGCTCTAAATAGGTACCTAGCAGTTAGTCAACTGTTGCTGGCCGCTACTTAGAGAAGGATCTCAACTGAAATAAACTATATTACTTTGCTCTCTTGGGTTATCCAGATGTTATTTTCTTCAGGTACCGACTGGTGGTGCGGAGGCCAGGAGTGGCGGAACAGACATGGAGGAGTTTCACTGGTGAGTTCCTTCCTGACGCTTGGATGGGCACCATGGCCTTCGTGCTACTCGTGCCTCCCTGCCTCGCCCTCTGTAGCTACTTCTCTCCAGTAGAGACGGAGAAGGTCAACCTCAAAGACGCCTACACACTAGCTATTGGAGCCTTTGCTGTTCAAGGTATTCACAAACACATATGCGCGCGCGAGCACTCACTAATATAATTATATATATATATATATATATATATATATATATATATATATATATATATATATATATATATATTATATATATATATATATATATATATGTAAAACCTGCTATCGTGGCTTAAATAGCAACGCTCATCTTGCCATATAAGACAAGCGAAAATTTGTGTATGTAATAATTTCGCAAAAATCATTTTGAGCCTAACGAAAAAGATATATTTCACTGTGTTTGTTTAGTATTAAATTACTGTAAACGTATCTAAAATATATTTAGTTGGGTTAGGCTAAAATAAATTGCGCTTCTTATAAAAAGGGTTAATTAAGTTTTCTAAGGTTCTTTTGGTGCAAAATTATAATTTTTTACATTAACATTAATGAAAAAAATATATCTTTGAACGTATAAGAGAAAAATTTAGAAAGGACTTAATTTTAAATGAGTTCTTGCTAATTGACCAGTTTTACCTATGTCCCATAATTTACACCAGAGGTGGACCCCATCCTATTATACATATATATATATATATATATATATATATATATATATATATATATATATATATATATATATATATATATATATATATATATATATATATATATATATGTAAAACCTGCTATCGTGGCTTAAATAGCAACGCTCATCTTGCCATATAAGACAAGCGAAAATTTGTGTATGTAATAATTCGCAAAAATCATTTTGAGCCTAACGAAAAAGATATATTTCACTGTGTTTGTTTAGTATTAATTACTTTAAACGTATCTAAAATATATTTAGTTGGGTTAGGCTAAAATAAATTGCGCTTCTTATAAAAAGGGTTAATTAAGTTTTCTAGGTTCTTTTGGTGCAAAATTATAATTTTTTACATTAACATTAATGAAAAAAATATATCTTTGAACGTATAAGAGAAAAATTTAGAAAGGACTTAATTTTAAATGAGTTCTTGCTAATTGACCAGTTTTTACATGTCCATAATTTACACCAGAGGTGGACCCCATCCTATTATACATATATATATATATATATATATTTATATATATATATATATTATAATATATATATATAAATATTATATATATATATATATTATATATATATATATATATATATATATATATATATATATATTTTCAACAAGTCGGTCGTCTCCCACCGAGGCAGGGTGACCCAAAAAAGAAAGAAAATCCCCAAAAAGAAATACTTTCATCATCATTCAACACTTTCACCACACTCCACATTATCACTGCTTTTGCAGAGGTGCTCAAAAACACAACAGTTTAGAAGCATATACGTATAAAGATACACAACATATCCCTCCAAACTGCCAATATCCAAACCACTCCTTTAAAGTGCAGGCATTGTACTTCCCATTTCCAGGACTCAAGTCCGACTATATGAAAATAACCGGTTTCCCTGAATCCCTTCACTAAATATTACCCTGCTCACACTCCAACAGATCGTCAGGTCCCAAGTATCATTTGTCTCCATTCACTCCTATCTAACACGCTCATGCACGCTTGCTGGAAGTCCAAGCCCCTCGCCCACAAAACCTCCTTTACCCCCTCTTTCCAACCCTTTCGAGGACGACCCCTACCCCTCTTTCCTTCCCCTATAGATTTATATGCTTTCCATGTCATTCTACTTTGATCCATTCTCTCTAAATGACCAAACCACCTCAACAACCCCTCTTCTGCCCTCTGACTAATGCTTTTATTAACTCCACACCTTCTCCTAATTTCCACACTCCGAATTTTCTGCATAATATTTACACCACACATTGCCCTTAGACAGGACATCTCCACTGCCTCCAACCGTCTCCTCGCTGCTGCATTTACCACCCAAGCTTCACATCCATATAAGAGTGTTGGTACTACTATACTTTCATACATTCCCTTCTTTGCCTCCATAGATAACGTTTTTTGACTCCACATATACCTCAACGCACCACTCACCTTTTTTCCCTCATCAATTCTATGATTAACCTCATCCTTCATAAATCCATCCGCCGACACGTCAACTCCCAAGTATCTGAAAACATTCACTTCTTCCATACTCCTCCTCCCCAATTTGATATCCAATTTCTCTTTATCTAAATCACTTGATACCCTCATCACCTTACTCTTTTCTATGTTCACTTTCAACTTTCTACCTTTACACACATTCTCAAACTCATCCACTAACCTTTGCAATTTTTCTTTAGAATCTCCCATAAGCACAGTATCATCAGCAAAAAGTAACTGTGTCAATTCCCATTTTGAAATTGATTCCCCATAATTTAATCCCACCCCCCTCCCGAACACCCTAGCATTTACTTCTTTTACAACCCCATCTATAAATATATTAAACAACCATGGTGGCCCGGTGGCCTGGTGGCTAAAGCTCTCACTTCACACACGGAGGGCCCGGGTTCGATTCCCGGCGGGTGGAAACATTTCGACACGTTTCCTTACACCTGTTGTCCTGTTCACCTAGCAGCAAATAGGTACCTGGGTGTTAGTCGACTGGTGTGGGTCGCATCCTGGGGGACAAGATTAAGGACCTCAATGGAAATAAGTTAGACAGTCCTCGATGACGCACTGACTTTCTTGGGTTATCCTGGGTGGCTAACCCTCCGGGGTTAAAAATCCGAACGAAATCTTATCTTATCTTATCTGACATTACACATCCCTGTCTAAGACCTACTTTTACCGGGAAGTATTCTCCCTCTCTTCTACACACCCTAACCTGAGCCTCACTATCCTCATAAAAGCTCTTTACAGCATTTAGTAACTTACCACCTATTCCATATACTTGCAACATCTGCCACATTGCTCCTCTATCCACTCTATCATATGCCTTTTCTAAATCCATAAATGCAATAAAAACTTCCCTACCTTTATCTAAATACTGTTCACATATATATTCAATGTAAACACTTGATCTACACATCCCCTACACACTCTGAAGCCTCCTTGCTCATCCGCAATTCTACATTCTGTCTTACCTCTAATTCTTTCAATTATAACCCTACCGTATACTTTTCCTGGTATACTCAGTAAACTTATTCCTCTATAATTTTTACAATCTCTTTTGTCCCCTTTCCCTTTATATAAAGGGACTATACATGCTCTCCGCCAATCCCTAGGTACCTTCCCCTCTTTCATACATTTATTAAACAAAAGTACCAACCACTCCAACACTATATCCCCCCCTGCTTTTAACATTTCTGTCATGATCCCATCAGTTCCAGCTGCTTTTACCCCTTTCATTCTACGTAATGCCTCACGTACCTCCCCCACACTTACATTCTGCTCTTCTTCACTCCTAAAAGATGATATACCTCCCTGGCCAGTGCATGAAATTACCGCCTCCCTTTCTTCCTCAACATTTAAAAGTTCCTCAAAATATTCTCGCCATCTACCTAATACCTCCCTCTCCCCATCTACTAACTCCCCTACTCTGTTTTTAACGGACAAATCCATACTTTCCCTAGGCTTTCTTAACTTGTTTAACTCACAATATATATATATATATATATATATATATATATATATATATATATATATATATATATATATATATATATATATATATATATATATATATATATATATATATATATATATATAATATATATATATATATATATTATATATATATATATATATATATATATATATATATATATATATAATATATATAATATATATATATATATATATATATATATATATATATATATATATATAATATATATATATATATATATATATATATATATATATATTATAAATATATAGGGAAGTACCACCTCTATAGCTGGAATGGGGACCCTCATCCTCAGAGAAGACAATAAACGTATATTGATGGATTGAGCACCTCGACTCCAGGCTGGAGGACTGATTACTTCAAACTCCTCTTCATCTTCCACCTTTCTCTGCACTGGACCAAAGAAATCACTGCGTGGCGAAACGTTTCCAGAATAGAGATACCCAAATGTTGCACAAGTGTCGCATTGATCAACTTGTTGCTTATCTAAACCGTTTATTTACAATACACAAATAACCCGCACATAAGATAATGACTCGTATGACGACGACATTTCGGTCTCACTTGTTACTCTTAACTAGTCACACAGTCGGACCGAAACGTCGTCATAAGTTTCTGTCTTTTATGTGCAGGTTATCCGTGTATTCTCTCCTTCCTTTGTCGACCCACTTTTGCTTTCCGTCCTCTCTTCCCCTCATACTTATCTCCCTCTCTGCTCTCCTTTTCTTATTTTCTACATCTCTCATGTTTCAATCCATCATGCATGTTCCTCCTCTTAATCCCTCCCTTCCTCTCCTTAATCCCTCCCTCCCTCTCCTTAATCCCTCCCTTCCTCTCCTTAATCCCTCCCTTCCTCTCCTTAATCCCTCCCTTCCTCTCCTTAATCCCTCCCTTCCTCTCCTTAATATCCCTCCCTTCCTCTCCTTAATTCCCTCCCTTCCTCTCCTTAATTCATCCCTTCCTCTCCTTAATCCATCCCTTCCTCTCCTTAATCCATCCCTCCCTCTCCTTAATCCTTTCCTTCCTCTCCTTAATCCCTCCCTTCCTCTCCTTAATCCATCCCTCCATCTCCTTAATCCTTTCCTTCCTCTCCTTAATCCATCCCTCCCTCTCCTTAAATCTTTTCCTTCCCTCACACTACCTACCTTATCATCCTACTGCAGGATCGTGGCTAGAAGTCCGCAGTACATCATCTCGTATAGTGTTCGCGACGATCTTCTTTGCTACGCTGCTGGTCTATGCTCACTACACCAGCGCTCTAGTCTCTATCCTGACTGTCTCCTCCACCGTCACTGATCTATCCAGCCTTCAGAGTCTCCTGGCAGACGGAACCTTCCAGCTCGGCTTCGAGGCTGGAACCTTTCTCGAGGTAGAGTTTAAGGTGTGTAGTCGGGTGTTGAGAGTATTGATTTTGTTTCATGAAGAGATTACAGAAAGCTAAAAATGTTCGCGTTTTATAATAACATACGATTATAACTATGTATATATTAAAATAGTAAAAGTCACGAGCGTTTAAAATAAAAAATAAAAAAACTGTTGATCATTTAATACAAAAAATAAGGAATAATTGTGTTGATAAATGGTTCAGAGAACCGAAGAATTGATAAATTAGATACATGAACAACACTTGGGTATCTAATTTATCAATATCTGTGTTAAGATCTGAAGTAAGATGTTAATATTATTGTTTGTCATATTCAGAATTCCGTATTAACTCGAAAGGCCAGATAATTGCCTTGGATGGACAGAATCTTCTTTTGTATTTTTCGAATTTATGGGTTTTTCATTGATCGAGTCAGGGCGCTTTATATAAAATATATATATATATATATATATATATATATATATATATATATATATATATATATATATATATATATATTATATATATATATTACAAGTCGGCCGTCTCCCACCGAGGCAGGGTGACCCAAAAAGAAAGAAAATCCCCAAAAAGAAAATACTTTCATCATCATTTCAACACTTTCACCTCACTCACACATAATCACTGTTTTTGCAGAGGTGCCCAGAATACAATAGTTTAGAAGTATATACGTATGAAGATACACAACATATCCCTCCAAACTGCTAATATCCCGAACCCCTCCTTTAGAGTGCAGGCATTGTACTTCCCATTCCCAGAACTCAAGTCCGGCTGTATAAAAATAACCGGTTTCCCTGAATCCTTTCACTAAATATTACCCTGCTCACACTCCAACAGATCGTCAGGTCCCAAAAACCATTCGTCTCCATTCACTCCTATGTAACACGCTCACGCACGCTTGCTGGAAGTCCAAGCCCCTCGCCCACAAAACCTCCTTTACCCCCTCCCTCCAACCTTTTCGAGGACGACCCCTACCTCGCCTTCCTTCCCCTACAGATTTATATGCTCTCCATGTCATTCTACTTTGATCCATTCTCTCTAAATGACCAAACCACCTCAACAAACCCTCTTCAGCCCTCTGACTAATACTTTTATTAACTCCACACCTTCTTCTAATTTCCACACTCCGAATTTTCTACATAATATTTACACCACACATTGCCCTTAGACAGGACATCTCCACTGCCTCCAGCCGCCTCCTCGCTGCAGCATTTACAACCCAAGTTTCACACCCATATAAGAGTTTTGGTACTACTATTCTTTCATACATTCCCTTTGCCTCCATAGATAACATTTTTTTTGCCTCCACATATACCTCAACGCACCACTCATCTTTTTTTCTTCATCAGTTCTATGATTAACATCATCCTTCATAAATCCATCCGCTGACACGTCAGCTCCCAAATATCTGAAAACATTCACTTCTTCCATACTCCTCTTCCCCAATTTGATATCCAATTTTTCTTTATTTAAATCATTTGATACCCTCATCATATATTATATATATATATATATTTTATATATATATATATATATATATATATATATATATATATATATATATATATATATATATATATATATTATTATTTATTTTTTTATTACCACACCGGCCGATTCCCACCAAGGCAGGGTGGCCCGAAAAAGAAAAACTTTCACCATCATTCACTCCATCACTGTCTTGCCAGAAGGGTGCTTTACACTACATTTTTTTAAACTGCAACATTAACACCCCTCCTTCAGAGTGCAGGCACTGTACTTCCCATCTCCAGGACTCAAGTCCGGCCTGCCGGTTTCCCTGAATCCCTTCATAAATGTTACTTTGCTCACACTCCAACAGCACGTCAAGTATTAAAAACCATTTGTCTCCATTCACTCCTATCAAACACGCTCACGCATGCCTGCTGGAAGTCCAAGCCCCTCGCACACAAAACCTCCTTTACCCCCTCCCTCCAACCCTTCCTAGGCCGACCCCTACCCCGCCTTCCTTCCACTACAGACTGATACACTCTTGAAGTCATTCTGTTTCGCTCCATTCTCTCTACATGTCCGAACCACCTCAACAACCCTTCCTCAGCCCTCTGGACAACAGTTTTGGTAATCCCGCACCTCCTCCTAACTTCCAAACTACGAATTCTCTGCATTATATTCACACCACACATTGCCCTCAGACGTCATCTCCACTGCCTCCAGCCTTCTCCTCGCTGCAACATTCATCACCCACGCTTCACACCCATATAAGAGCGTTGGTAAAACTATACTCTCATACATTCCCCTCTTTGCCTCCAAGGACAAAGTTCTTTGTCTCCACAGACTCCTAAGTGCACCACTCACTCTTTTTCCCTCATCAATTCTATGATTCACCTCATCTTTCATAGACCCATCCGCTGACACGTCCACTCCCAAATATCTGAATACGTTCACCTCCTCCATACTCTCTCCCTCCAATCTGATATTCAATCTTTCATCACCTAATCTTTTTGTTATCCTCATAACCTTACTCTTTCCTGTATTCACCTTTAATTTTCTTCTTTTGCACACCCTACCAAATTCATCCACCAATCTCTGCAACTTCTCTTCAGAATCTCCCAAGAGCACAGTGTCATCAGCAAAGAGCAGCTGTGACAACTCCCACTTTGTGTGTGATTCTTTATCTTTTAACTCCACGCCTCTTGTCAAGACCCTCGCATTTACTTCTCTTACAACCCCATCTATAAATATATTAAACAACCACGGTGACATCACACATCCTTGTCTAAGGCCTACTTTTACTGGGAAAAAATTTCCCTCTTTCCTACATACTCTAACTTGAGCCTCACTATCCTCGTAAAAACTCTTCACTGCTTTCAGTAACCTACCTCCTACACCATACACTTGCAACATCTGCCACATTGCCCCCCTATCCACCCTGTCATACGCCTTTTCCAAATCCATAAATGCCACAAAGACATCTTTAGCCTTATCTAAATACTGTTCACTTATATGTTTCACTGTAAACACCTGGTCCACACACCCCCTACCTTTCCTAATGCCTCCTTGTTCATCTGCTATCCTATTCTCCGTCTTACTCTTAATTCTTTCAATTATAACTCTACCATACACTTTACCAGGTACACTCAACAGACTTATCCCCCTATAACTTTTGCACTCTCTTTTATCCCCTTTGCCTTTATACAAAGGAACTATGCATGCTCTCTGCCAATCCCTAGGTACCTTACCCTCTTCCATACATTTATTAAATAATTGCACCAACCACTCCAAAACTATATCCCCACCTGCTTTTAACATTTCTATCTTTATCCCATCAATCCCGGCTGCCTTACCCCCTTTCATTTTACCTACTGCCTCACGAACTTCCCCCACACTCACAACCGGCTCTTCCTCACTCCTACAAGATGTTATTCCTCCTTGCCCTATACACGAAATCACAGCTTCCCTATCTTCATCAACATTTAACAATTCCTCAAAATATTCCTTCCATCTTCCCAATACCTCTAACTCTCCATTTAATAACTCTCCTCTCCTATTTTTAACTGACAAATCCATTTGTTCTCTAGGCTTTCTTAACTTGTTAATCTCACTCCAAAACTTTTTCTTATTTTCAACAAAATTTGTTGATAACATCTCACCCACTCTCTCATTTGCTCTCTTTTACATTGCTTCACCACTCTCTTAACTTCCTCTCTTTTTCTCCATATACTCTTCCCTCCTTGCATCACTTCTACTTTGTAAAAACTTCTCATATGCTAACTTTTTCTCCCTTACTACTTCCCTTTACATCATCATTCCACCAATCGCTCCTCTTCCCTCCTGCACCCACTTTCTTGTAACCACAAACTTCTGCTGAACACTCTAACACTACATTTTTAAACCTACCCCATACCTCTTCGACCCCATTGCCTATGCTCTCATTAGCCCATCTATCCTCCAATAGCTGTTTATATCTTACCCTAACTGCCTCCTCTTTTAGTTTATAAACCTTCACCTCTCTCTTCCCTGATGCTTCTATTCTCCTTGTATCCCATCTACCTTTTACTCTCAGTGTAGCTACAACTAGAAAGTGATCTGATATATCTGTGGCCCCTCTATAAACATGTACATCCTGAAGTCTACTCAACAGTCTTTTATCTACCAATACATAATCCAACAAACTACTGTCATTTCGCCCTACATCATATCGTGTATACTTATTTATCCTCTTTTTCTTAAAATATGTATTACCTATAACTAAACCCCTTTCTATACAAAGTTCAATCAAAGGGCTCCCATTATCATTACACCTGGCCCCCAAACTTACCTACCACACCCTCTCTAAAAGTTTCTCCTACTTTAGCATTCAAGTCCCCTACCACAATTACTCTCTCACTTGGTTCAAAGGCTCCTATACATTCACTTAACATCTCCCAAAATCTCTCTCTCTCCTCTGCATTCCTCTCTTCTCCAGGTGCATACACGCTTATTATGACCCACTTCTCGCATCCAACCTTTACTTTAATCCACATAATTCTTGAATTTACACATTCATATTCTCTTTTCTCCTTCCATAACTGATCATTTAACATTACTGCTACCCCTTCCTTTGCTCTAACTCTCTCAGATACTCCAGATTTAATCCCATTTATTTCCCCCCACTGAAACTCTCCTACCCCCTTCAGCTTTGTTTCGCTTAGGGCCAGGACATCCAACTTCTTTTCATTCATAACATCAGCAATCATCTGTTTCTTGTCATCCGCACTACATCCACGCACATTTAAGCAACCCAGTTTTTATAAAGTTTTTCTTCTTCTCTTTTTAGTAATTGTATACAGGAGAAGGGGTTACTAGCCCATTGCTCCCGGCATTTTAGTCGCCTCATACGACACGCATGGCTTACGGAGGAAAGATTCTTTTCCACTTCCCCATGGACAATAGAAGAAATAAAAAAGAACAAGAGCTATTTAGAAAAAGGAGAAAAACCTAGATGTATGTATATATATATATGCATGTGCGTGTCTGTGAAGTGTGACCAAAGTGTAAGTAGGAGTAGCAAGATATCCCTGTTATCTTAGCGTGTTTATGAGACAGAAAAAGAAACCAGCAATCCTACCATCATGCAAAACAGTTATATATATATATATATATATATATATATATATATATATATATAATATATATATATATATATATATATATATATATATATATATATATATATATATACGTAAAAAATATTCACAATAATAATTTTTCTGATTACTGTTGTCTCCATTTTAATCGCCAGTGATATAAGGAGAATTTTTTTATGCATTTTGTTTTACAGTTTCATGAATCTGTTATTTTAAGGTCCATTTTCTCAATTTTTTTTTTATCTACCGAAGAGTCGTCACCTTTTCCGCTCCTTATTTTCATGTTGTCTCTCAGTTGCCATTCCTTCATCCCTGTACGCCTCCTTAAAGTGACCAACAGACTAAGGAAATTTATCACTCTCTTGCAGAATTCCAAACAGTGGCTCTTCAGGGAGGTGTGGAACAAGCTGGTGGCTCCAGACCCTTCCAACCTGGTCCACAGCGACAATGAGGGTATTAAAAAGGTGCTACTCCTCACATTCTTCTCCTTTTTTCCCTATCTTCCTCATCTGGAAATATTCCGTATGATGATTGAGTCTTGCACAATTACTAAGAGAATCTTCATAGCCTTTAACCAGCATCTAGTTTGTCAGGACCCCATTGGTCTGACTTTTTTTGGGTTATCCTAGGCACTTCACACATATGCTGCTATGTATGATAATCTATGTAACTGTATTTGTGTATACCTGAATAAACTTACTAGCAACTTCCACAGTCTCTGGCCATCTTTCACAGTTATTAATCAACTGTCACAGTGACTAATCAACTTTCACAGCCGAAATCTACCTTGTTTGGCTTATAAATAATTCCACAACCTCTAACCAATTATTTATACCTTCTAACAACTCTTCATAGCCTCTAAACAAATTTCCCACTAAATTCGAATTGCTTCGTGCTGCAGGTGATGAAGGAAAAGTTCGTGTTCATGATGGAGGAGAACCAGTTCGCCTCTCTACTGGGCAACAAGTGTGATGTAGTGCTCACTAAGGGACGCTACTTCTCTACGGAGACCGGGTTTGCATTCTCCCTCGACTCTCCACTCAAGAAGGTTTTCGACGTGAAGTAAGTTCTTATGAGTCTGTGTATATACAGAGGCTTTCACAGGTGTTTTTACTCTTGGTGGGTCCTAACGGCCATCTTCATTAGCGAGAAAATGCTGATGCTGGTAGGTGATCGTTAGGACCACGTATAATTCGGTGTTGTGTATCAGTAGCAAATGTAAAAAAAAACTTTGATTTCTCGAAATAAGCAGTTTTCAGATATTTTTTTTATTTGGACAGTTAGTTTCTCTTGTCCACGATAACAGTCAGCAACGCTCTCTGATTTCTGCTCTGATTTCTTGATCTAGTTTTAACAAGACTCATAATAAGTAGTTGGCTTGGTACTCCACTTTTATACTTTGACATTGTTTTAAGTAATCTCAACCTTTTATGACTATATTTTACTATATCATATAACATCTCCTTAATACATTTTTCTACGCATCAACTTAAATTCCTCTAGTAAGCAAGTACCGAAATCTTTGATACGTATATCTCAAGGATACATTGTCCTACCCTGTTAGATAAGATTTAATCTATATTAAAAGCTTACCGCTTGCTCCCATCATTATAAATTCATAAAGTTTTATCTAAAGCATTCGCGAGGATGCGACCCACACCGGTCAGTGTAAGTCACATCCTGGGAAATGCGACCCACACCGGTCAGTGTAAGTCACATCCTGGGAAATGCGACCCACAGGATGGGCAGACTTGTATATACGATTGCATCGTGTATACATGTATGCCCATCTATGTCTCGCTTTTCATCTTTTTGTGATCACCGTTGTTGAGGATGCTGCGGATGCGTGACGCTGGGATACTGAGCAGATTATGGCAGAAGTGGCAACCCCCCACGGCCCTATGTGTGGACCCAGGAGCCATCGCCCTCAACATCAACCACCTCCTCACCGCCTTCCTTCTCCTCCTGCTGGGGGTTGTTCTCTCCGCTATGCTTCTGCCCTGTGAAAGGTGAGACAATTACCTATTTCACTTTCTTCATAAAGATCCTCAACACAGGTGTACATTCAGAAACAGAGCCAGCATAAACTATCAGTACTAAAATAAATCCCCCAGTGCAGCCCATTCAGGGGCATTCACTCTGTATTCGAAGCATGTCATACAAAACCACTTTTCTGTCTTCCATGTTATCTTAGCCAGTCAGAGGCACGGTTAGCCATCGCCTTCTAGGATGAGTCGACCATCTTGGTACGGGGTAGCTAACTAGATGCTTTGGCAGTCTGAAGTGTCAGAGGGAGGGTTGACGGTCTATAGGAGGTTATCTCTTTTCTTGGAATTCCTCAAACCGTGGTTCCTCTCGTGCTTTGAAATTAACTCCCACACCATTGCAATTGTGTAGATAAATTGCATCATAAAACGGACAGGTTGATGGTTGATGAATTAGACATTTGTGCAACACTTGCACAGGTGTCTAATTCATCATAGCAGTTATCTTTCTGTATGGGTATATTTGAGCTGTCGTAACAAAAATATTCTCATATTCACTCTCCAGAACCCTGTTCTCTATTGGGTTTTTAACTTGTTCTTGAATTCTATACATTGTGTAGATAGTTTGCACATTCTTTACGGCGGTGGAAATATATATGAAACCAAAACTCTTCTGGTATTTGTATTATATTCCACATTTTTCCGATTCCTATTTAACTATGCTAAAACCTGGCTCATAGCACGGCCTGGATACTTTAAGCCTTTGAAAAACACTTGGGTTCGTTATATCATATACATCTCGTAAGAATTCCTTGACATTTTGCTGCTAATGGTTTTTCAGACATTACTGATTTACAGTTTTACACATACATTTACCCCAGAATTTAACATTAGCCGTTGATTCTTTTTTCCTTCTCTCCGTAGACTCTACTGGAATCTCATTGGTAAAACAAAGGCACAGAGAAACAAAATAGTCTTGGCACCAACGATTTCCAGAGCCGAAACACGGGCAAACATAAGCAGACTCAGTCAAGGCGTCGCCAACAGGAATGTCGGTCAAGCAACAATTGTTCAGCAGCTCAGGCAGCCCGTCATCAGACGTGGCTTTCTTTACTGATGTGAAGCTCCTGTGTTGGGGGTCATACGAGCACTACTGGGAGTCACTTGAAGATTTTTTTTACACACTTGAATTTCGAGGCTATCTTACTGGAACTCATTTCACTGACCCAGTCAATCTTGTGTCCATTATCATCCCTAGAAAGCAGTTCACTAACACCTAAGTAATTATATTTTGCAAGGTGAAAAGGGGCGATAAGTTCAGGATTGAACCTTGGTCTTTCGCCTGAATCGAAGGGACTATCACTGAGCTACCTTTCAAGCCTCAAAAGACAAACAGTTACTTCAATTTATACATATGTATAGACAGCTATAATAAATCAACTCTTTTTTTTACATTATTCAGATTTCAAAATTCTTAAATTAAGTTGTTAGGTTACTTTTGTACCATGGCTTATAACAAACTTGCATTATCATAGTTAAAAGTTTTCCATGGGAAATAGGAGTGAAATGAATCTTCAGGTGATACCACAAATGTTCATATGAGGCTTCTTTTGATTACCTGACACGATAACAGGCTAATGTGATTCACTAGACTAAATGTTATCATTGGTGATGCACCATGTATCTCCTTCCCTAGTAACACCAACAACCCTCAGAAACTTAGCATTTCTTAAACATGTGAACATAATAATGATATACAATACTGACAAGTTGATAAGTAGGACACATGTGCAACAGTTAAGTATCTATTTTGAAACTTTTAACCTACAGAGTGGGCTTCTTCAGTCGAATACAGAGGAAGTAGCAGAAGCAGTGGAGATGTAAAGACGATGTAATCAGTTTTAAGGTGGTCAGTCCCTCAGCTTGGAGAAGGTTCTGCTTCATAGTTTGGAACAATGTGAAGCTGAAGCAGCAGAATGGAGACTTACATACTGTCAAAGGTGAGGCACAGAAAATTATGATAGACGAGGTGGGGCCCACTAGTAGAAGTAAGATCGCCTTTTTACTTCTAGTTGGCACCGCCTTTATTGTCATCAAGAGTTTCTGCGCCTCATCTTGACAGCAAATAAGTCATGATGCTATAGCTTGATATTGTTCCAGACCATGGAACTGAACTCTTCTCCAGGCTGAGGGACTGACCACCTCAAACTATTTCTCCAAGGTTGATGGACTGCTTACATCATTTTCACCTCACCACTACAGCTACCTACAATACATTCTCCTCTGTATTTGACGAAAGATGCCTACCCAACTGTTGAACATGTGCCTCTTATTCATATACATGACAATGACTGACGGTACGTATGGCAGTGATAACATATATAATGGCAATGTTCATATATAGTATATGGCGATGGCAGTGACAGTATATATGCCAGTACATATGATAATATAAATGACAGTAACTATATAACTATATATTAATGCAGAACTCGACAAATTTTAGAGAGGATGTTTATTTTTATATGGAATTCACAGTTCGCCATTGTTCATTTATCTTATATCTGAACTTCACGTGCTGCTCATTGACTGATGAAGTGTTACGACTTTTTACTGTGTAATTTAAAGGTCGTGACTTAAAGGGTAAACAACCTGCTATGTTTAGGAGCATTTATATTATTTAACATTGAAAAAGAAACCACTCTAGGGTCAGTATGTACCTTCATACAAATTATGAAGCATAAATTTAAATGGTCAATGTATTATGAGGAAGGACACAAAAACTCACCTATTCAAAAATATATAAAGGTAACACATACACCCTACAGTCTACTCTACTGCAACCAACATCACCACACCCCAGTTTACCTTTACCCAGGACTCACATTAGCTCACTAGCACACTGCTACTAGTGAGTAAAAAACAAACATTTATAAACAGAGAAGCTCCGTGACACCCCCCCCCCTTCTGCAGACTGTTCAACCTGCAGGTTGTACAAGTCTCCCAAAACTTAAACAGGCCTCTGCACACCAGGGCCTTACAGGTAAACATGAGAGCACCTAAACCAATAAACTAACCTATGGTATAAACTTAAAAAAAAAAAAACCATCCCTACAAAACAAACCGTGACATCTTAATACATCTTGCTGCAGGTGCTGCGCTCAACGTACTGCCACACACACTCTCAACTCCTGGCCACTCTGACCAGGAATAATACACGTCTCTTTTCAGTACAAATCCCATGGAGAATTTTGTTTTTATAAAATATTTTCCACAATATACTGCGTAAGATGAGGCCACAGGAAAGCATTTTAAGGAATGTAAGGAATAATGTTATTAAACTAAACTGACACATTAAACGCCTCAGCTCCGACTCTGGACTGATGTTATGCAGACAGGAATGTTTATCATATACAAATCTCTTATATGGAAATGTTTATTTACACCATACTTCGTCCTCGAGCATGATATCTCCACTGCCTCCAGCCTCCTCCTGGTTACTATGTTTAAAGCCCATGTTGGGCTTTATCAGGTGTGGACACCTTTTTGGTGCTGCATACTCCATAATGGGCCTCACGCATGATGCATAAAGACCATGAATGACTTGCATGGAAAAATGTAGAAAGTTAATTTATGAAATAAAAGGCAGATGGACGTGGTTGTGTACTGAACAATCACAAATGCAAAAATGTACTGCTGTGGCAAGTCTCTTTAAAATCATTCACAGTCATACCTTCTCTCTGTACCTATAATATTGAACTTGCATACTATAACGTATTTACAATACTGACTGAATATGTAACGTATCTTTAATATATGTAACACTCAAGCTACTGTTGATAGGATTAAATTCATACTATAGAAGATACCATTTTAAACCCATTATTTTATAATACAAGATTATAACAGACATAAATATATAAAACTAACAGTGTACTAGAGTTTAAAATCAAAATTATAAATTATTTGGAATCACAGTGTGTATTTATACCAAATGGCGGGTGGAAGACTATTGCAGCCAAAAAGACGATAGAATGTTTTCCTTCATCCTCAGTACATAAGAAATATTTATTACTGTAATCTTGACGGCAGCAATTCTCCTTCACTGCACATGAACACTACTAACCAAGGCGAAATAATTTAAGTCTTTGAGTGTTAATTTAAAATGATCACAATTTTTCAAGATTAACTTTAGCACATTTCTTCTTCTTCTTCTTCTTCTTCTTCTTCTTCTTCTTCTTCTTCTTCTTCTTCTTCTTCTTCTTCTTCTTCTTCTTCTTCTTCTTTTTCCTCGTATTCATGGAAAGTACTAAAGTTTCATGTCGTTCGTGTAACGAAGTGTTTCTTGAGTCACTATTATCCAAGTATAACTTCACCAGTATGTTAGACAGGGTCGTACGTAGCACTGGATGTGTAAGTTGAACTTGCCTTAATTAACCGCTAAACCAATATTTCAATTTTTTTTTTCGTTTTTAGCATTTAGTCAATATCATATAATTATGTAGCCGAAGAAGTGGTAAATGAAGTTGTGAGCATATATCACAAACTGTAAATTTTATTTTTTATTTAAATAGTAGTCAGCTTAATAATACTTAGAATTTTACAGTTCTTTACCTCACGTTCAGATTTATCTAATGACTTTACTGAATAATTTTAAATTTCCAAAGCGCATTCTGAATATAAGATTATTCAATATATATATATATAATATATATATATATATATATATATATATATATATATATATATATATATATATATATATATATATATATATATATATATATATATATATGTATATATATATATTATTATATGTATTCTTCAGTCTTATTCTCTCTCTCTCTCTCTCTCTCTCTCTCTCTCTCAGGGACCATTGACGGCGTGTTGGTTGAGCTCTGCGATCTCCTCGTCAGTTGTAGCGTCAGTCTTCTGCTTGAGGCTTGCGTCACCAGCCGTCACGCCCCAGTCGTCAGGCTGAGACAAAGATGCGCAGAAGGGCCGCCCTGAGGAGGGCTTCAGGGTCTCCCAGTAGCTTCTGTTGGCCCTGTACAACAAACAGCAAACAAGTTCATAAAATGTTGAAGATTATTTTTCAAAAACTATAATTTTAAAATATTTTGTGGTGTGAGAGTAACACTGATATCAATGGTATCTTATCAGTAACACTGTAGGTGACCTCTTAAGTTATCGTTATGGTATCTATTAGGACTCTGCGATTACAATGACTTATTATCAAAGTTTTCTTCCAGTACAAGCTAAGCTCTTAATCTAATTTGTTTTGACGATTTTCCAATTATTATTAAATGTCCATGTAGTCTGGGAGGGTTTTGATGCTCGATGTGAAGCCATAAATATTCAAGAATAATAAAAACGACAGCAACCAAGAATAATAATAATAATAATAATAATAGTATTATTATAATTTTTAGAATACTGCTGTATTATTGTTGTTAATATAATTTTGTTGATACTAATTATTTCAGTTTGATATGCAGGTATTTTTAATAATGTATATGCAAGTATTCTACAATGGTTACTGTAGCATAATGTAAAAAGATATGAGTATTTTTCCCCCCTAGAATAACTCATCAAAACCAAGTAGGACGAGTAAATATTTTCGAAAATTAACAAAAGTTTCAATTTTTTACATACTGTTCAATAAGCATCGTGAACATTTTGCTTAACTTCTAATTTCAGCAGTGGAAATTTATTTTTTTAGTGAAAATTGTCACAATTCTTCAAATTTCTTTCCATAATTTCAGTTAATCCTCAATTTTTTTTACGCATTTTACGTCGAGTTTTGCCCATATATGTTGTGAAGCCATCGTTCACAAATGCCTATAAGTTTTAGGTTTTTCTACGATTTTCATTATTTTTTCTCTTGAGTTCCTAACTGCAGTCACATTGACCTACCTGGCCCTGATCCAGGGCTTGGTGTGCATCCTGAGTCCCGCCGACCATAACTCGTGCTTCTCCGAGGCCTTGGGCAGCCCGCCTCGCTCCACGGCAAGTTCTTCAGCCAACGCCCTAGTGTGGTAGGGCTCGAAGCCACAACATCCACCAATGTAGCGTACTCCCAGCTTGTACGCTTCCCGAGCGTACTTGTGCATGTCCCAGCGAGTGCAGATGCGAGGCTCCAGTGCTGTGTAGGGAAAAGGGGGAATAAGGCTATTAATACGAAAATAGAAACCGTTGGAGCAATAATAGCGTAAATAAAGATATGATTGTTGCTACTACTCCTGGCAGTGTTCCAATCACTGACACTTCAGATATTACTAGTAATAATACTTGTATGTTAACTCTAACGGGTATTATCGGTTTAAACACTAGTAATTCTCTTACAACTGTTTCTAATATTAACTCCATAGCATAAACACTTCTACTATATCTGATAACACTACTGTAACTTTTCCATCTCAGATTTGTTTATATAATTACATAATTTGAGCAATTTATTATGTTATTATTTTCCAAAAAACTAACGATCTTGTCCCTAATAATAGTCTTCATTTGTTTGCCTAAAATTGTTTTAAGTTGATGGGACGACAGTTGAGGGCACAAGTCTTAATGCTGATCAAGAGTTTTAATTCAAGGAATTGAGCTAACCTACCCTCCCTCGGATCAAAGTTGCATACTTCTAATTTTCCAGCAACTGTGCGAACCCCTCTGCTGCTCAGTGAATATAATAATAATAATAAAAGTTGCTGTGTATTTGCCCCCCCCCCCCAGAAAAGTTAAGAAATA